TTAAATACTTTAATGACATTTACACATTGAAGAAATTTTCTATAACTAAACCAGGCCTCCAGGATATTGTCAGAACTATCCTCCATAAAAGCCAGCACAATCCTCCACCACATAAGTAAACTCACACAGAAAATTTTGATCAAATTCTAATTTCCAGAGTGGCAAAGGATTAACGATGTCCACTGGACTTTTGAAAAATTTGATACCCAAAATTATACCGGGTTCATCAATATTCTCAAACAACATGAATGGCTTAAATTGTCCTTTAAAGAGGCACAGGCTGGCTGACTGGATACAAAACTCAGGCCAGATATCTGCTGCATTCAAGAATCCCACCTTACCCTAACAGACAAATATGGACTCAGGGTGAAGGGATGGTCATCTATATTCCAGGAAAATGGAAAGCAGAAAAAAGCAGGTGTTGCAATTTTATTCGCAGATACTATATGATTTTCACCAAAAGAAGTAAGCAAGGATAAAGATGGGCACTTTATATATGTTAAGGTTAATACTCAATACAATGAGATTTCAATCATCAATATTTAGGCCCCCAACCAGAATGTACCTCAATTTATAAGAGATACCCTAATAGACATGAGCAACTTGATTTCTCCCAGCTCCATAATAGTTGGAGAGATAGATCCTCCAGTAAGAAGCTTAGCAAAGATGTTTTAGATTTAAACTTAACCACTCAACATTTGGATTTAACAGACATCTACAGAACATTTCATCCTAACAAAACTGAATATACATTTTTCTCATTGGCCCACGGAACTTACTCCAAAACTGACCACATCTTAGGTCACAAGGCTAACCTCAGCAAATTTAAAGGAATATAAAGTATTCCTTGCATCTTCTCAGACCATCATGGAATAAAAGTTGAACTCAGTAACAACAATAATCTGCAGACTCATATAAAAAATTTTAAGCTAAATAACCTTATCTTGAATGATAGGTGGGTCAGAGATGAGATCAAGAAGGAAATTACCAAATTTTTGGAACAAAATGATAATGAAGTTATGAGTTACCAAAACCTCTGGGATACTGCAAAGGCAGTCCTAAGAGGGAAATTTATAGTACTGCAAGCAGCCTTCCCCAAGAAAGCAGAAACAGAGGAAGCTAACAACTTAATGGGACATCTCAAGCAACGGGAAAAGGAAGAACACTCCAATCCCAAACCCAGCAGAAGAAAAGAAATAACCTAAATCAGAGCAGAATTAAATGAAATTGAAAACAAAGGATTAGACAACAGATCAATAAATTAAAAAGTTGGTTTTTTGTAAAGGTCAATAAAATAGAGAAACCTTTGGCCAACCTAACCAAGAAAAAAAAGACTAAAATCACTAATCTCATCAATCAGAAATGGTAGAGATGAAATAACAACAGACCCTTTAGAAATTGAAAAAAAATCCTTAATGAATACTACAAGAAACTTTATTCTCAGAAATATGAAAATCTGAAGGAAATTGACCAGTACTTGGAAGCACGCCACTTCCCAAGACTTAACCAGAATGAAGTGGAAATGTTGAACAGGCGTATATCAAGTTCTGAAATAGCATCAACTATACAAAATCTCCCTAAAAAGAAGAGCCAGGAACCAGATGGCTTCATGTCAGAATTCTACCAAACCTTTAAAGAGGAACTAGTACCTATACTACTTAACCTTTTCCAAAAGATAGAAAAATACGGAATGCTACCCAACACATTCTATGAAGCAAACATCACTTTGATCCCCAAACCAGGAAAAGACCCAACAAGAAAAGAAAATTACAGACCAATATCTCTAATGAATATTGATGCAAATATATTCAACAAGATCCTAAAAAACAGAATCCAGCAACACATCAAACAAATTATACACCACAACCAAGTGGGTTTTATCCCAGGATCTCAAGGCTGGTTCAACAAACATAAATCTATAAACATAATTTATCACATAACTAATTTTAAAAAATGAAGATCATATGATTCTCTCAATTGATGCAGAAAAAAACTTTTGATAATATCCAGCATCCTTTCATGATTAGAACACTTAAGAAAATTGGCATAGAAGGGACATTTCTCAAATTGATAGAGGCCATCTAGAGCAAACCCACAACCAATATCATACTGAATGGAGTTAAATTGAAATCATTTCCACTCAGATCAGGAACCAGGCAAGGTTGCCCATTGTCTCCATTGCTCTTTAACATTGTAATGGAAGTTTTAGCCATTGCCATTAGGGAAGAAAAGGCAATCAAGTGTATCCACATAAGATCAGAAGGGATTTAAATTTTCACTCTTCGCAGATGACATGATTGTATACTTGGAAAGTACCAGGGATTCTACTACAAAACTCTTAGAAGTGATCAAGGAATACAGCAGCATCTCAGGTTACAAAATCAATACTCATAAATCAGTAGACTTTATATATACCAACAACAGTCAAGCTGAATAAATAGTCAAAAACTCTATTCCATTTACAGTAGTGCCAAAGAAGATGAACTATCTGGGAGTTTACCTAACAGAGGAAGTGAAAGACCTTTATAAGGAGAACTATGAAACTCTAAGGAAAGAAATAGCTGAAAATATTAACAAATGGAAAAACATATCGTGCTCATGGCTGGGAAGAATTAACATAGTTAAAATGTCCATACTACACAAAGCAATATATAATTTTAATGCAATCCCTGCTAAAGTCCCACTGTCATACTTTAAAGATCTTGAAAAAAATGATACTTCATTTTATATGGAACCTGAAAAAAACCTCAAATAGCCAAAACATTACTCGGAAATAAAAACAAAGCCGAAGGAATCATGCTACCAGACATCAGACTATACTATAAATCCACAGTGATCAAAACACAATGGTATTGGCATGAAAACAGAGAGTTAGATGGATGGAACAGAATAGAGAACCAAGAGCTGAACCCAGCTAGTTACTGCTATATGATCTTTGACAAGCCAATTAAAAACATTGAATGGGGAAGACTCCCTATTTAACAAATGGTGCTGGGCAAACTGGCTGGTGACCTTCAGAAGACTGAAACTGGATCCACACATTTCACCACTAACTAAGATTGACTCTCCCTGGATTAAAGATTTAAACTTAAGACATGAAACTATAAAAATACTAGAAGAAAGTGTAGGAGAAACACTTGAAGAAATCGGCCTAGGTGAAAATTTTATGAAGAGGACCCAGGAGAGCAGCTGATCGCAGTCCTGAGGTGGTACATTATGGCTGACATGCAAAATCTGGTAGAAAGATTGGAGAGGGCAGTGGGCCACCTGGAGGCAGTATCACATACCTCTGACATGCACTGTGGGTATGGAGACAATTCATCAAAAGGGGCAGTTCCATAAGTGCAAGCATTTGACTCACTGCTTGCCGGTCCTGTGAGAGAGTACTTGAAGATCAGTAAAGAAATTGGAGGAGACGTGCAGAAACATGAGGAGATGGTCCACACAGGTCTGAAGTTGGAGCGAGTACTCCTGGTTACAGCCTCTCAGTGTCAGCAGCCAGCAGGCAATAAGCTTTGTGATTTGCTGGCACCCATCTCAGAGCAGATCCAAGAAGTGATAGCTTTTCCAGAGAAGAACCGAGGCAGCAAGTTGTTCAATCACTTGTCAGCTGTCAGTGAAAGCATCCAAGCCCTGGGCTGGGTGGCTATGACTCCTATGCCTGGCCCCTATGTGATAGAAATGAATGATGCTGCTATGTTTTATACAAACCGAGTCCTCAAGGAGTACAAAGATGTGAATAAGAAGCATGTAGAGTGGGTCAAAGCTTACTTGAGTATATGGACAGAGCAGCAGGGTTACATTAAGGAGTTCCATACCACCAGACTGTCCTGGAGCAAGACGGGGCCTGTGGCAAAAGAACTGAGTGGATTACCATCTGGACCTTCTGCTGGATCAGGCCCACCTCCCCCACCAACAGGCCCACCTCCTCCCCCAGTCTCCACCAGTTCAGGCTCTGATGAGTCTACATCCCGTTCAGCACTGTTTGTGCAGATTAATCAGGGGGAGAGCATCACACATGCCCTAAAACATGTATCTGATGACATGAAGACTCACAAGAACCCCCTGCCTTGAAGGTTCAGAGTGGTCCAGTACGCAGTGGCCCCAGGCCGTTTTCTGCACCCAACCCCCAAACCAGCCCATCCCCCAAACCAACCTCAAAGAAGGAGCTAGCTCTACTTAAACTGGAGGGCAAAAAGTGGAGAGTGGAAAATCAGGAGAATGTTTCCAACCAGGTGATTGATGACACGGAGCTGAAACAGGTGGTTTACATGTACAAATGTGTCAACACCATATTGCAAATCAAGGGCAAAATTAACTCCATTACAGTAGATAACTGTAAGAAACTTGGTCTGGTATTTGATGACTGTGGTGGGCATCGTGGAGATAATCAATAGTAGGGATGTCAAAGTTCAGGTAATGGGTAAAGTGCCAACCATTTCCATCAACAAAACAAATGGCTGCCATGCTTACTTGAGCAAGAATTCCCTGGATTGTGAGATAGTCAGTGCCAAATCTTCTGAGATGAACGTCCTCATTCCTACAGAAAGCGGTGACTTTAATGAGTTTCCAGTCCCTGAGCAGTTCAAGACCTTATGGAATGAGCAGAAGTTGGTCACCACAGTGACAGAAATTGCTGGTTAAGAGAAGTGCCACTGGGTTCTTTGCCCTCTCCGTTCACACCATGGGATAAATCTGTATCAAGACAGTTCTTTTCTAGATTTCCTCTACCTTTCTGCTCTTAAACTGCTTCTCTACTCTGAGAAGCACAGCTACCTGCCTTCGCTGAAATATACCTCAGGCTGAGATTTGGGGTGGTATAGCAAGTCAGTTGATCTTCTGCAGGAAGGTGCGACCTTTCCATATCGGTTCAATCACACCACCAGTCCATTCTTAAGGAACTGCAGAACAGGACTGGTGCCTTTCAGCTTTTGGCTTTGGGGGTGTTATTCTACCAACAGACAGTCCTTTGAGAAGAATAAAACAGTCCTAGGAATTAACAGATCAGAATGTTCACACTAGTTAATCTTTTCTTCTAACAATGAGCATGAGGGTAGTAGAAGCTGGTATTGATTCCAGACACTTCTTCTAACCTAACTAATTTTTCACCGTTGACAAGTGAGGGCAAGGGTAGAACTGGATCAAAAGCTGAGGCTTGGCCATCTTGGCATTCCAAGGGGAATGGTTTTCTATAAGGATTCCTTTTATTCTGCATTCCATCCTGGGTCTGTTTCAACCATGAGATAGGAGGTTCTTTGGTACTAGCTACTGTAGCAGTGCCCTTCATCCAGGGCCATTACAGGTGTCTTGGACTCTTTCTTTCTCTGGAATTCCTGCCTATCACCTTCAACAACACATCATTCCAAGATGTCTGGCATTCCTTCCTCTTTACCTGCTAGGTGCCTGTTATCCATCTTCACTGCCTCCTTTTCTCTGTCATGCTCAACAACTTAACAGCTTCTGTCCAGGCACCTGAACCAGAGGACTAAAACATCCCCTGCAGACTGGTTTTATGTCTCAATTTATGTAAGAATCTTACACAGCATTGCTAATATGAATTTCATTCCCCCACCCCAGACAAACAATTACCAAAATACGCAACATTTTTTGGTGGGAAGAGCGATAGTCCTGTGATTTCTACCCATTTCCTGAGGCTTGTGGAAATAAACCTTTATGTACTTAAAGTTATACAGAAAATAGAATAAAGTTAATACAAAAAAAAAAAAAGAGGACCTCCCAGGTAATTGAAGCAACATCAAAAATACACTACTGGGACCTCATCAAATAGAAAGCTTCTGCACAGCCAAAAGCACAGTAAGTAAAGCAAGTAGACAGCCCTCGGAATGGGAGAAGATATTTGCTGGTTATGTCTCTGACAAAGGTTTAATAAACAGAATCCACAGAGAACTCAAACATATTAGCAAGAAGAGAATAAGCCATCCCCTCTCAGGGTGGGCAAGGGACTTGAAGAGAAATTTCTCTGAGGAAGACAGGCACATGGCCTACAAACATATAAAAAAATGCTCACCATCCTTAATCATCAGAGAAATGCAAATCAAAACTACTTTGAGATATCATCTAATACCAGTAAGATTAGCCCATATCACAAAATCCCAAAATCAGAGATGCTGGCATAGAGAAATGGGAGATGCTGGCATGGAGATGCTGGAGTGTGGAGAAAAGGGAACACTTCTACACTGCTGGTGGGATTGCAAACTAATATGTTCCTTTTGGAAAGACATCTGGAGAACACGTAAAGAACTAAAAATAGACCTGCCATTTGATCCTATAATTTCTCTACTAGGTATATATCCAGAAGACCAAAAATCACACTACAACAAAGATATTTGTATCAGAATGTTCATTGCAGCCCAATTTATAATTGCTAGGTCATGGAAGAAGCCCAAGAGCCCATCGATCCACAAATGGATCAATAAATTGTGGTATATGTACACTATTGAATACTATGCAGTCATTAAGAAAGATGGAGACTTTACCTCCTTCATGTTTACATGGATGGAGCTGGAAAATATTCTTCTCAGCAAAGCTTCCCAAGAATGGGATAAAAAGTATCCAATGTACCCAGCCCTTCTATGAAAGTAATTTTAGCCCAGGAACATGGGGAGAGGGGAGAGGGAGGGGAGGGGAGGTTGGAGGGTGGGTGGAGGGTAGGTGGAGGGAGGGTGATTAGTGGGATCACGCCTATGGTTCATCCTATAAGGGTACATGTGAATCTTTCTAAATATAGAATGTAAATGTCTTAACACAATAACTAAGAAAAAGACACGATGGCTATGTTAACCAGTTGGATGAAAGTACTTCAAATTGTATAGAGAAACACTACACTGTACCCCATGATAGTATTAATGTACACTGTTATGATTTAATACAAAAAATAAAATAAAATATTAAAAAAAAACCCACTCTAACATATCACCTCACCCCAGCAAGATTAGCCCACTTCACAAAATTACAAAACACCAAATGCTGGGAAGGATGTGGAGAGAAGGAAATACTTCTACACTACTGGTGAGATTGCAAACTAATACAGCCCTTTTGGAGAGAAGTTGGAGAATCCTCAAAGATCTAAAAGTAGACCTTCCAATGGACCGTGCAATCCCATTACTAGGTAACTACCCAGATGAACAAAAATCATTTTACCCCAAAGATATTTGCACCGGAATATTTATTGTGGCTCAGTTCATAATTGCCACGTTCTGAAAGCAACCTAAATGCCCATAATCCCATGAATGGATCAAGAATCTGTAATATATGTATGCCACAGAATAATGTTCAGCCATTAAAAATGATGGCGAGGAAGGAAGAGGATAGCTGAGAAAAGACAACTTGAGCCAGAGGCTCCTAACCAGAAGGGGAGATTCTGGACAGATTTGGCTTCTGAAACTGAAGGAGAGGAGCTGAGATAGAAAAGAAGATAGACAAGTACACATCATGTTGGTTGTGGCCTGCAACTGAAAAAGGAGGATCCTAGTGAACAAATTCCAGGTACTAAGACCAGTGTCATGAGAATGAAAGACCCCTCCCTCAAGAAGGAGGCTGGCTGCAGGCTTTCTGCAAGTGCAGAGGACAAAAGACCTCTCATTTTACCCTACAAGTGAGAACCACAAAATACTGGGTGTCCTCCCCCAGGGCTGTCCCACCAGTGAGTTTAGGCATCATTGTGCTCAGCATAAAACTAAACAAATACTCTCCCTGCAATACTGAAGTTTCATCACACCCTTCCCCCACTGCCCAGTGGGCTGAAGGTATAACCCCTGCAGAACCCAGAGTGTATGGAAATTCTCTAGGAGGTCTGGTCATTGTATGGATAGAAGTGCAGAAAAAAGTGGCTCAGGTGGAGACAGGGCAGCAAAGGAAGAGAGGGACTTTTGGAGAGAGAAACACTAGTGACATTGTCCTGTGTGCAGCAGTGCAGAACCCCCCTCCCCCCCACACACACACACTTTGGACTTTCAAGAGCAGAGTCTCTGATGCCAGGTTAGGGCTCTGGTGGGCAGGTAAGCTCAACCTCGTTGGGACTCTTGGAGTGGAGTCACTGATAATCAGTTGGGACTTTAAAGGGTAGGCGGTGCTGACCCATGTTTGGACTTCCAAGGCCATAGCCATGGACTACCAGGTTGGACGATAAAGGGCAGAGCTGCTGACTCCTGGTTTGGACTTCCAAGGACGGAGGCACCAGGTTGGAATTTCAAGTGCAGAGCTGTGGGTACCAGGTTTGGATTGTTAAGGGTAGAGCTTTGGGCTTTGGAATTTCAAGGGAGGAGCTGTGGGCGCCTTGTGTGGACATTCAATAGCTGGGTGCTTACTCCTGGTTTGGACTTGATTTTTTTTTT